GACATATATTTCTGCTCCTGACACCGAACTAAACTTCACTATTTACTTTTTTTTTTTTTCCAGATTTTCACTTTTTAACGCACCAATGACAATATCCATGCAATGTAGAGACTTTATAGCCAAGTTTATGACAAAGGTGTACAGGCATCTTGGAAACTCTTAGTGCATACTAAGGACATAACAATATCTGAATCGCTCAGTGCGATACTTTCATGGAGGCTAACAAAATTGTGAATATGTAACTTTTTCCTTTTAAAATGCATTGATAAAACTTTGGTTCTGTCATAATCCAAAGAACTAAGACTTAAAAGTGCTTATAACTGTTATGTCCTCTAAAACTCCTAAAACTTTAAAATTTACACCTTTTTTCACTGTTATTTAACAAGTGAGATGTACATTTCTTGTTAATTAATTTAAGTATCTTATTGTTTTCTGTTTTTTAGTAGTTTCATTGTGACTTTGACTGATTGTCCTTGTATATTCTATGTTTTTGAAGAGCACTTTGGCCAGCTTGTTTTGGCCAAGTGTTTTATAAATAAAGTTGGTATGGTTTGGTTATTTCTTCATGCATTACAATGAAAACGAAGCAAAGAATCATGGTCTATGTAGTTCCCTCAGTTTTTGAGCTATAGTGCTGCACTGTAACTATTGACTGAAGCAAAGAGACTTGTAATTCGATAGTCCATGATATCATTGTGAGACCTTTGTCGATACGATATCACGATATTTCGGTTATATTTACATCCCTAATGTATACCCGGCCGTGACTTAAGCTGCACGCTAGTTAGTCCTCCTGCAATCTCTTCTGTGTGTCTAACTCGATCACATTTGCATGGAGCCCACGCCTCGACTCATCCACCGCTGCTCCGTTACCATGGAGATGGCGGAGGCTAACACACGGCTAGCTCAACGCAACCCCCAACGCAGCTGCAGCCTTTCATGTGCACTGAGAGGACACTCGCTTTCAGTCTACCGTGAAAATGGATCTCACTCTGCCATATATATACAGTACAACCACAATCATTCACTTTGGACAGAAAACAAAGCCTGCGTTCAGGAACTTCTCCACAACTTTCTAGATCGCCCATAAAAGCAGGAGGCAGGTCAGACTTTTATGGTGAGATGTTCAGGTAGCAATTTTCTTACAGTCTGAGAGTCTACGTCTGGGTTGACAAAGGTCCTATATTACTCAAAATGGACTCTTGTGAAGCTTTAAGTCATGTCATAATGCTGTTACCTCATCAAAAACCAACCTGGAGTCATGTTTTGTTTCATTTACACATGTTTGAGTCTGCATCTCCAATGCTCAGAATGCTCAGTTCCAACTAGTAATGTCATGAATCGGTAGTTTTCGAGTGAACTTCCGCATGTTACTTTTTATATTTTGTTCAGTAGAGACGGGAAATTCCAGGGCTGAAATCATCTAATAGGCTCTATTCACGCTCACGCCACAAACCATTTTGTGACTGTTTGCAGTAAGTAAGTCTGACAAAATCTAAGAAAAATGAGAAAATGTCCCAGTTTTCTTCAACTCCATGTTATTGTATTGTTCCATTATGTTTGGTTAATCAATAATTACAACTATGCCCCAGTTTTCATCATTACCCACTGACACACAACTCCGAGCGCACTGGGTACATATGATTTCCACTGTCACGGAAATCCTGGAAAAGTCATGGAAACTGAAAATGTTATTTTCCAGGCCTAGAAAAGTCATGGAATTTTGTAAATTTATTGAAAGTTTTAGAAAAGTCATGGAATTTTAGTATCGATTTCACGCAACTACAGCGTTCTGATAAGTTCTCATGAGGCTATTCTGATTATCTCCGAACATCTGCTCCTTTTGTTTAAAAGAGACGACAATAAATGCACTGACAGGATTTTGAATGTTAAAAAAATATAATCCCAAACCATAAGGTGAATGGAATGCAGTAATGTGGCATTACAGGGTGAAAATTTTTTTTTTACTCAGTACAAATGGCAGTGAGGCGCGTCACAATGCTTTTTTAACCTGGATTGAAGTGGTTGGTTTTTAATTTTTCTTCATACAAATTTGCCGTGATATCCTAGATTCCAATTCCCAGTCCAAGATTAGTCCAGGGTTCGTCCTGGTTTAGTCCTGGTTTAGACCTGGTTTAGACCTGGTTTAGACCTGGTTTAGACCTGGTTTAGTCCTGGTTTAGACCTGGTTTAGTCCTGGTTTAGACCTGGTTTAGTCCTGGTTTAGACCTGGTTTAGTCCTGTTTTACACCTGGTTTAGACCTGGTTTAGTCCTGTTTTACACCTGGTTTAGACCAGGTATTGTCCTGGTTTAGTTTCGTCTTGGTTTAGTCCTGGTTCAGTCAATATACGGCGCAAAAGTTTGGCACAGTCTTCGCACAGTTTTGGTGAGAGTAACTTAAAAGTGCTGCAATAGTAATGTAATGTCTTACATTTTAAATGCAGTAATATTGTAATGTAACAAATTACTTTGAAATGACAGTAACAAGTCATAAATGAAGTAACTTGCCAAAGAGTGTATATGACATCACAAGGTGGAGCAAAGTGTTTATAGTTTGAGAGAAAGGTTTGTGTGTTAAACATGTACAGTATAAATGAAACAAAACACAACTCCAGGTCTGTTTTTGATGATGAAACAGCATGATAACATACATCAGAAAACAGTGTCATATGGGCCCTTTAAGCTCTCTCCAGGGACAGACAGACGAGCAGAAGTCCATTGTTGGAAAGGCTTTATCTGTGGTTAAGCTGTTCCCATTATGTTCCAGTGTATTTGCCACTGGCCACACTTTGGACAGAGCAGGATCCATATTAACATTATCAATAAACGCCGCAGTCCAGTGCATTAACAGCAGCTCAATACCTCACAATGGAGCACTTTACCACCCACAGACTCAGGGCCCCTCCAGCTAAGAGCTCTGTAATGTGGGCAATAAGGCCGTGCTGATAACTATGCATTAAGATAATATACAGGCCCGTTTACATAGTGCTTTATGGAGAGAAATGTGATGTTTGAAGTTGGTGGAGTTGGTTTGATGTCCATTTTTTATATATGTTTTATATATATTAGAATGTTTAAGGGTCATTTGAGTAAATCTTGATAGAGGTTGTGATTCTTTGTCAATTCTGAAGAAAATCTGGTAGCAGGTAGCATAAGAAGCCTGAGTTCTTACTGTTTTTTAAAAAATCAACTACCGTAATTTCCAGACTTTAAGCTGCAACTTTTTTCACACACTTTGAAGCCTGCGACTGGAGGGTTTATCTTCACAGTAGATGCACGCAGCCTGAGTGCAGAAAGCTCCACTGTCTGTGCCCTTAACATGAAGTTGCACTGTTGTCAGAACATTAAAACAGTTTACACCGTGTGATAAAATAAGTTATGATGCTAAATGAACATTAGTGAGGGAGAAACATCTTAATGACCTGTATGTGTTAAATGCAGGTGAGTGCTTAAATGACGAAAAGAAACGTCTCAAACTTCAGCAGCCAGACATCCACTCATACCTGATACACCTATCCCCGCCCCTAGGAGAACCTGAAATCTGCTGAAAATCCCACAAGATACTGACACAATACCAGACAGGACACTTTCTGCAGGAGACATATGTAGTAGAGCATCAAGTGATGGGGGTGCGAGAGAAAGACGAACAGGTGAAGAGATGATGTGCCATTGCAGAGGAAGATGCTGGTTTGATTGTGTTATGAACAGTTATTTTGCGCTTCATGCACACACCATCCTCATGGAAAACACACGAAGAAATCCAGATGATGCGGCTTTTAAGTTAACAGCAAGTGATGTGGCTGTGAAAAAAGAAAATCGAGCTGCTGCACGTGAGCTCGGCATCAGTGAGTCGACGGTGAGACGTTGGCGACGGCAGAGTGACGAACTGACTCAACGCAAAAAGATTAGAAAAGCTTTCAGAGGTGATAAAGTGGACACCTGCGGCTTATAGACAAATGCTGCCTATGTATGTACACAAATTCAGTCGATGTGGTTTATATTCAGGTGTGCTCAATAGTCTGGAAATTACGGTACAATAACCAGGCCAATGCTGTAAGCTCTATATAGAGGACTTCAGAACCTCAAGATTTTCCTCCCTGAGCTGTAAAGGCTGCTCTAACCCTGATTCATGTTTGGCTGCAGGTCCTGGGGTTTAGGTATTGACCGTTCAGATCCGAGAGTGTTCCTAATGCCTTAATATACTTACATTGGACTTTACAGGCTCATCGAAGCGTCTCAAAGTAGTAAGCTACTACTTTAGCCATGGCTGTCCTGGGGCAGACTGATGGAAGATAAGCTGCCAGTCTGTGCCATTGGCCCCTCTGACCAGTCACCTTTCTGGGTATGAAAGCGGTGAGTGTGTGAGTGCTGGGAAGACCACTAGAGATGGGACAAGATCTAGTACCACAAGATCTTGCGAAACGAAAATATGATTGTGTACAAATGCCGAAAATGATCTTGTGTGAGATTTTTTCCTATGTTTTTTTGTTTGTTTGTTTTACTTTTGGATTGGATAAAAAGTTAAGTACTGGTGAGATACATTTTTTGAGAAGCTGTAGTCATAAAAAGAAATGCTACAGCAAAATTATTAAATGAAGCAAAATAAAAAAAAACGGTAAGAAGAGAATTGGGAAGTGGATTGCACAATAGTAAATAAAGTCACAATCTTGTCCTGTCTTCGTAGATCCAGTCTCGTGTCTCATCTAACCACTGACTCACTGTCTCCCCACAATGAATAAAACATCAGAATTAAAATGATTTCATACTGATGATTTTCGAGCCTGATTGAAGCAGTATCTGTGAGTCTGACCTGCGTCTCCGGAGCTTGTTGTTCTCGGTCTTGAGCAGGTGCAGTCTTTTGGCGAAGCACACGATGATCATGAAGAGCAGCAGCAGCACCACAGCGGAGGCCCCCACAGCCAAACACAGCACCTGGAACTCAGTGACCACAGACTCACAGCGCGCTCCTTTGTTCCACATGTAGTCCTGGATGTTACACCTGCAACACAGCACAAGACAGAGGAGGTCAGGACCAGGTTTTATGAATTTATTGAGGGTAAAATGTAAAAAAGTACATATGACAGGTTTTTGTATGTTTATAATTATGACTTGGTTTGGTGCATTTGTATCTGTTACCCTTGTCCAACTAGAAAATAAAATTATACATGTCACCCTCCACCAAAAAATAAAAAACTTTAAAAAAAACTTGAAAACACTGCATTTTAGTGAGACACCTGGCTTTAATCAAGGCAGTTTTATGTGATGTCATGTAGTACTTGAAACTACAATGGCCACTGGAGGCAGCACTCACTAAGTTTTTTAAAAAAGAAGCTGTAAATCTACCTACACAGCAAAACCATGGAGTGTTAAAATTGATTGACTTTCACAGAATCAGTTTGAACATTTTCTCAGAGTTTATATGAGTCCAATCTGTTCTAGAGTTAATTTAACATTTTGGAAATGTTAATTAACTAACACTGGACCAAAGTTCCAGTTTAACCCTGAAATCAAGAGTTATATTAACATTTTCAGAGTAAACATATAACACTTTGTAGGGTTATCCTGATTTGACTAAACAACACACAGAGGTGTTTTATTTTTACACTTTATTTTAGTTAATTTAAGATGAAATTCTGTACAAAATTGGTTCAAACTGGTCTTCTCTGGTGGGAGTTTGAAGCGGTGGGTGGGAGGTGCCAAATTAACACTAAAGGCCTGTTTACACGAGAACGCTTGAAGGTGAAAATGACAAAATATTTTATCGGAAGTGCCTTTTGTTTAGACGGTGACTGAGTTTTAGGGGCTTAAAAACGCAAAAATCTGAACCCACCCTCCAGAGTGGAAAAGTTGAACATGCTCCGCCGTAGTGTTTCCATCTACACTGCCCAAGACGCAAAACTCTGGACAGATCTGCTCACGTCGCGTACATGTTTATGTCACATACATACAGTACACAGAAACCTGGCATGCATACCCAATCCAATTCCACACACTTTTGCATCACCGTATACACGCAGATTTCCTCACGAAAACGCTTGTCTAAACACGGAATAAAAAGTGAAGATAAGACATCACTTTTGCGTCTTCTCTTCAGACCGTCATCATATAAACGCAGCCAAAGGGAAGTTGAATCAACACTAAGGGAAGTTGAATTAACTTCAAACATATCAACTCTGGCAAATAACCCCAACTCAAACCCTCATTTAACTTTCAAATAGATAAAATAACACTTTTTGTATGAAAAACAACTCTGAAATATTTACCCTGAAATTTTAACCCTCCAGTTTTTGTTGCGTATGTTGCACTAAAATTGACTAAAAAGGTCTAGGAGCAGACAGTACTCTTAAAACACCATATACACAATTCATCAGCATAAAAGTTGACACAGGGTTGGTTTAGTTCCACTTTAACAAAAACATTGCATTAAAAAATCTTAGGAAAACAAAAATGTGGCTGTGTGCTATAAATATTCCAGTCATGCTCTTGGAAAAGAACAAGGCTCAAAACTTAGACAAAACGAAATCCAGGCACTCCACAAACATAAAAGCTGCACAAGGAGAAGTAAAGTTAAAAGACCTTTATTTTATTATTATTATGTTTTGACCATAACCCTCGTCTTCATCAGGGCTTAGTAAGAATCATAAAAATTGACCCATGATCATAAAAAAGACAAAAACATCTTCTGCCAAACAGTCACATCACAATTTTATTTGATACTATTTATTTTTATTGGCCACCACCACAAAGGACATACAGGCCGTGTCTCATTTCTCTTTCCTCACTTCCTTCTGCCTTGATTCCTCTCCTTGATCCTCCATTTTTCAGCTGTCAATCAAATTAAAGGGTGTCCCAAAGAAAACCACAGATGGAATAAACCTGAGGGAGGCTTCAGGAGCAGACATCAGATAAAAAAATCAAACTTTATCGGTCTCAGTGAGGAGTTTATATTCTTTCTCCTCGCTGTGTCTCCTCTGTGGGCGGGACTTCCTCACCCATTTTCTGCAGAATCAAGGAGAAGGAAGCGAGGAAAGAGAAAAGAGACGCAGCCAGACTTCAGAAACATTGAGTGACTCCTCCTTTACGGTCCACTTCCTCTGTATCTCCATCAGCGGTCACATCAGTGCGTTCATGTGTGAGCGTGGCCGCAGACACATGTGACACATCTGAGCCCCGGCCACACTACGGCGTCTGCCCAGGGCCAAAAACCTCTCGCACAGATGGGCTTTGTCTACACACTCGCGGCGGTTTCTTATGGCACCATCGATCTCGGGTTTAACCAGACTGTACTGCTGCCATGGCAACGCGCACTCACTCCACACACCACGGGGAGAAATGAAACTTTTTCGATGCAGCAAATACGTCATCGGAATATTTTAGAATCGGGTAAATAAACTGGTTTATTTTCGTTGTTCCCTCATCAAAACATTACCAAGTTGTCTTTTATCTTTGGCTCTGGTTTGGACCTCGTTTGGACCTGCTTCAGATCTGGCTGAGACCTACTCTAAAGAAATACTTTAAAGGTTCTATATTATGCAAAATTGACTCTCGTGAGCTTTAATCCATGTTAGAATGTTGTTACCTCATCAGAAACATACCTGAAGTTGTTTTGTTTCATTCACAAATTTCCTTTATCATTACTGTCTGCATGTCCAAACCTCAAAATGCTCAGTTCCACCTTGTGATGTCATGTAATAATAGTTTTCAAGTGGACACCTACCTTTTATGTTTAGTTCAGTAAAGACAGATTGGCAATTCCAGGGGTGAAATGCAAATACAAATTATTCTAGTGAAGGTGTGTGGCGTTTAAAAACACATTGGAGCACTGTCTGTATTACTACATGACATCACAAGGTTGGGACAGTTTGAAAGGGTTTGTGTGTTAAATGTGTGAATGAAACAAAACACAACTCCAGACATGTTTGTACTGTATCTCGAGAAAATATACCATATTTTTCGGACTGTAAGTCGCACTTTTTTCATGGTTTGTGTGTTTCTTGTGACTTCTACTCCAGTCCGACTTATACATTAAAAGTTTCACACTGACAGCTGTGAGAGGCTCTAGGCTTGTGTGTCAGTGTCTGCTGCTTCTATTACTCCTGTACCACTGTCACTCCACTCTACTGTGCATGTCTCCTGCAGAAAGAGCCTCTGTCCTGTCTTGTATCATGTCAGTCGATCGCACAATTACTTCTGTACCACTGAAAATTTTTAATTTAGAAGAGGAAGCGGCGCTCTGTTTACCTCTGGAGGTCGTGGAGTTGTTCGGAAGTGACACCGAGAATGGAGAATTGAATGGATTTAGTGATTTGGAGTGAGATGGAGAGTTTGGTAAACTTGTTTTGTTCTGTTGTTTATTTTATATTTATCTGCAGAACTGTTCATATGTGAGGTTAACAGTCTGTTGTTCTCTCTTCTATTGTTATTACTATATTGTGACGTTCAAGACGAAATTTCAATTTCTAGTCTCTGATTTTATAAAATCAATTTCCCCCAAAAAGTGCAACTTATAGTCTGAAAAATACAGTAGATGCATGAAGTTAGTGTCTGTCATGTTACGTTCTTAAAGAGGCACTATGGAATTTTTCTGGTGGTGGGAGTTGGAGCGATCTGATCTGAAACAAAACACAACTCCAGGTATGTTTTTGATGAGGTAACAACATTATAACATGACCTAAAGGTGCACTGTGTAACTTTTTGATTGAGGGTTTGTCACCTTCTTGTTTCTAGGTGTTACGTGCTGGCGCCCCTTTGCACATCCCATTGCGTGTATTAATTGTGTCTGTTTTGGGGCGTGGTTGGTTCGCATATAAATAGGCCCAAAATATGTTACGACTCGGGTGGGTCAAACATATTAATGAGGACACAGGAGGCGAAAAGGTTACAAAAGTAAAAGATGTTTTTATTTTTAAGTTAATTTTAATTTACTTTAAAAACGCTAAAACACCTCCCGTGCCCAAAAAACAAAGTAACAAATGAAAGGTGGACCTGGTGAGCCGACCAAACAGAACAAAAGGGTGCGACACCGGGCCAACCCTATACAGGGCCGTAGGAGCCGGTGCCAGCACCCGTAACTAACGACAAAAAAAACCCAACAACCTAAACTCAACGGAAAAGCGAAAACAGGACAGCCGGTCCCACCAGGTCAAACAAAAGGCTAACGGCTAACAAAAGCTACCAAAACGATGAAGCAGGGGAGCCAGCAGGGCGTCTCCCAGCGCAAGGCGTGCGCGCTCCGGTACCTGCGGCGGCGGACGAGGAGGAGAGAGCGAGAGAGAGCGACGGGCTCGCGCATTTGAGGCCTCCTGCCGGAAATGAGTACAAAAAAACTACAAAAACATAATTAACTTATAAGAACAAAACTAGGCAGAAATGCTACAAAAAATATAAACAATAAAAAGAAAGCAGGGAAAACCAAAAAGTGCCCAAATGTAACACCCCCACCCAGAGTCACTGAATTAAAAAAAAGACACTAGGTCATTTCTATGTCATTGCTCTGCTTGGAATGTTCCACAGTATGACATTAAACAGTTCTACCTTACATTCATTCAATTGCAGGTGGTTTTATAGCTCAAAAATACCTAGAGAAACAGGCATTCTGACTGTGACCGGGGGTCGCCTCTCCACAGATCTGACCTGTAACTTGGTTTGGTTCGGTCTGCTTGAAGATAGAAAGGTTTAGTGTCGTACTGTGAAACATTTCAGACAAATCAATAACACGTCCACGGAGAAAAGCATTTGAAGGACTCTCCACCAGAAAAGTTACACAATGCACCTTGTAGCCCTGCACACAGAGCCACGGTTTATGTAAGTCACCCTTAGTATAAAGAGGAGGATGCTGAGAGGAGAGGGGTCGTCATGGCAACGGCAGCGGCAGATGTCATTCCATCACGCACACCTCTCTCTCTCGCTCTCTTTCTCTGTGTCTTTTCTTCACTTGGGATTAGCCCCTCCCTCCTCTGCTCTGTTCTTCTTCTCGTCTCGTTGGCCCCTCCCCCTCCT